CACTTGTTAATTTGTCCCTTACTGTCATTATGTTTAATAAGTTTAACCTTTTGTTAAATATTGTTAACTTTTTCCACATTTAAAGTAAAAAAGTACTAAAATAATTATATGGGGGATTTCTAGAAAAAACCAGTTATAAGTCTTTTTTACCAAAATTGACTTATTTGCATAACATCAATCTGTAACATTGTAACTATAACTGGAAAAATTTTCACTAAATAAAAAAATGAGTAATTGGGTAACAAAGAGTTTTTTAAATTAATTTGCATAAAGTTTAAAATTGATCTACAACCCCAATTGTGAATGAATGAGAGAATTTATTGGTGATTGATGGGGCAAAAATGGTAAAACATTGTCAGTTGACAATGTTTAACAAATAATAAGGCATGATGTTTTGGTATTACAAACTTTATTCTTTATGTTTATAAAGTAAATCACATAGATTATCGTATCAAAATATTAAAGGGCTTGGAATGTTTCTTGAAAATGTTTATATATGTAGGAAGTTGAGATTTCAAGAAGTTTACACCATATAAAAATTTGGAATTTTTTAATTTTCAGCCAACACCATCAAGTATTCTGACCAGAGCTATACTTTTTTTTTTTATAGGTTTATTAACAAAAAAATTTTATTTTACCAAATGAACCACGTGTTGTTATAAGTCAAGTCAATAAATAACTGCAAAAGAATTTTAAAGTAGTATTCAACAATCTTGAAAGAATTATAAGGTTGTTCTCTATACTTTTTGTGAATACATGAGAGTTAACATGTGAGGACAGTGGGATTTGAGAATTTTCTTATTTTATTAATAACAATTATCCCCAAGATTTTATATGAAATTGAACAACATGTCTCTCATTAATAGACAGATCATCAATTAATAATATTCAAAATTATACATGCAGCCCAAATTGGTTTGTAATTTTGATGGTCAAAATTATTCCAATTTTGATGGTAGAAAGTAGAAATTAATTACGGCATTCACTATTAAAAACATAAGTGTATATTCAAAATACATAAAATACATGATAAATATAAAATTTAATTAGGGTTTGGACAGAGGATACCTTTATATGGATTATCTACATGCTGACAAATGTTATTAAATAAATATTTTTTTCAGTCCTCTGATAAAGGAACAACTTCATGAAAATTTAATTGTGTATCTTATCAAAATTTGTATTCTTCAAAAGATCATAAGAATATTCTTCTCCACCAGATTTTTTTGAAAAATAAACTATTCCAATATTATTTGGCAAACTACTAAAGTGAAAATGATGTTGCTTTTTTATATTTGGTAAAGTTCTAAAATGATCTTTTAACATGGAATTAAAATCTTTCCATTTCCAACCTATCCCATTATTATATCTAATAGATTCATTATGTATAGATGATTTGTTTATAACCATCTCAACATCATCAACAGTATTTATACAACTGTCCTTGTATGCTTTTTCAATTAATCCAAATTCTGCATCACAAATGAATTTTGTGTGTCCAGGTATCATGAAATTTATATAAATATTTTCATACCAACCCAACATTGCTAACCATGACCAGAACCAAAGTGACAAATTGTTTTTATTCTGCCCAGGACAATTGTCACATGTAACATAAAGATTTTTTTTACCAACATGACCAATCTTTTGGAGAAAATCAAAAACCATATTCAAGGTTGTGTTAGCCCCCTTTTTTGATATCCCTTCTGGTAATTCATTTTCTCCTATAGTATAATTTGATTGAATATTTTTACCATCATCTGTCTTGCATATACCAAAAAGATGTATGATAAAAGGGGATTTGAAATAGATTGATCCAACTTGTTGAGAAGAAAATGGAGCTGCAACACTTTGGGCCCAATCATAACAAATATGTGTTATTGTTGAATCATTTTTGCTTTTTTCAATTATGTTGGTATAATGACTTCTTTCCTGTTCTGCATCTGTTTTGTGATTTTTGTATTCAAATTTAAGATTTTCTTTTTCATCATCATCATTTGTAAATTTTATATCTCTTTTAAGTGCTTCACAAGTATCACAAAGATCACATCCAGATGTTTGGAATTTAATGTATGGTGTTAATTGTTGCCATAGTTTGTAAAATGTATTATATGCAATAGGTCTAATAGATTCATATTCTGAATTAAATAAAATTTTAAATTCTTCATATACTGTAGTATATTTCATATAAGTTGGCAAATAGATTATTGCCTCTAATTCATCTCTCATTTTCATAGGAGATGGTAATCCATGTAAATTTGAATATTGCAATAAAAAATTCTTAACTAATTGTGCCATTCCAAGATTAACAATTACACGTGATTTATTTTGAGGAATTTTATTAGTATTACCATGAATACAATCCATCAAACCATCTAACTTAAAATGATTTTGCAAAGCTAATAATTTGTCTTTACTAATACCACATAGTTTTAAAAAAACTGGTTGACAAATGGGTATTGATGAATTATACTGATAATTGTAATTATATTTATTTGTTTTGTCATTTTGATCCTGTAATTTAAAAACCATCAATTGTGTTTTAATACAAAGATCTAGTTCATGTTTTTCTAATCCTTTTAATTGAAATTGTCTTTCTAAAAAATTTTTAAATCCAATTTTTTTAAAACATATCCTATTTATTTGTTTACGACAGCTGCAGTTTGATTCTTCTTCAAAAAATAATTTCAAATTTTGGACTGCATTAAGTACCAATTCATTTGGCTCATATGTTTCTAATCCTAAATCACTTGGGAAAATTAAATTTTCTGATGATAATTCCATGTCATCTTCTAAATTTGTAATTTCTAAATTTAAATTAGATATGAGATCACCATAAATTAAAATTAAATCTTCAGATGATTCAAAATTTGAAGACATGTTGTAGTTAAACAATTGTTTTTTGATAAATAAGGATTAAGTTTTTATTTCTGATGTTTTATGTTAGATGTTTTATTTTTTTAAAAAAATTATTTGTAAGAAATTTTCACACTATTTATAAAATAAATTAAAACAAATAATAATTTTTGCCTTAAAATTCGGCCATTTCACCAAATTTATTTTTAATAAATTTTGTCTTACCAAAATGAAAACTCGGCCATTTCACCAAAATTTATTTTCAAATTTTGGGGTTCAAAACGATCAATTTCCGTGTAACAAATTTTCAGGAGTTATTTTCTCAAAAAAGCTCACTATACTTATACACGGTTTTTGCTAGAAAACCCCCCATATTTATATGGGTGGGTGTTTAGACATTAAATTCTGATTGGCTAATTTGAATTTCACATGTGATTGCAAATTCACAATCATTTTCACGCAAACATCACCCAATCTTGTTTCAAGAGAAAACTTACTTTAAGAGTTTTGAGTCACAGCATTGATCCATCTCAGTTACAGTACGTAACCAAAAAAAGACAATCCGTATAAAATGTATGAAAATTAGTTCGTTTGATATGTTGAAAGCAGAACTTTATTAAATGAGCTTAATATGAAAAACTTTCACCATTGCTTTTGATTACACGCTGACATTCCGACTTTGATCAAATTAAAATAAATCGAGAATTAGGCCCACTTTTCGATGACAAATTGTCCCAAGCATTTAACTTCCATTCCAATTATTTGATAAAAGAAAAACTGGTGATTGTGGAATATCACATGATTTCAATGTAATTTCATCATTGACTCGTTCACTCTATAAGCCATATCACCTGTTCCCTTCAACTTTATTGGTATTGAAATAGAATTTGAGATGAGAATACTTTATAATTTGGTGTGAATGAATATATGTTTCTAATAATGAATTACAAAAAAAAAAATACATTTTAAAAGCAAATTACTCAGAAACCAAATGTCGAATTTGATTGTAAAAGGCAAAGTTTTGTTTTTAAATTTATTTGTGACGATTCTAATAAGAAAATTTCTTAGCAAACACGTAGTGTATGTAGACGTGTCACGCGCATTACATAATAAAATTTGCATCAATAAAAAAAATTAACTTTTTTTTAGTGTTTTGCTTGAGGGTTTGGGACACCCTGAAACACATAACATTTCATTTTGCATCTTACATATGATTCGTATGTGCGTATATATAACACGAGACAAGGTTGATTTGTGAAAATGATGGGATGATCTGATATGATAAAATAAAGTGATGGTTAGAGATTGTGTGGTTGGCACTTGTTCAACTTCCCAAAAATGGGCCCGATGTTCTGTTCTTTCAATTATTCAGCTCATTTCTATGTGTTATAAAAGAAATTATTATTAAATATCATCTTGAATTATAAATTGTGTTAATTAATTACTTTTGTGCAAAGAGAAAGATTTTTGCCCACACATTGATCTGATTTGCCACCAATTTATTAATTCAAGTTGTCATACATATTATGTATTATTGTCATGATATGATGTTTCAATGTATGTAAGTAAACTAAAATATATTGGTAAGTCAGCCAACCTATATAAAGTCGCGATAAGTTGTAAGTGAGGTTACTTGCCAAAACCTCTTAGTGACTGTCAAAACTCTGTCGAAATTCTAATGAACAATTAATATATACCTTGTCAAAACTCTGACGATTTGACAAAACCTCCAAATGCGAAACTCTGCCGAAACTCTAATTAACAATTAATGTGTAACCTGTCGAAACTCTGCCAATTGATTTTTGGAGGAGTTTCACCCACGACCTTAGTTGTGAGTCAGCCAACCCTCTTTTTAGGATAAGTAAATTGTTCTCGATAAGTCAGCCTCGCGTGATACTTTCATTAAATAAAAGATCATCATTACTACTTTTAACGTATGTTTTTATAGAATTTTATATATATTAATATCATACATTATATCTGATGATTTAGAAATTCTTGTCACGATATTTTATTATCATCAAGTTATATCATTGATTGTATAATTTATTGTCTGATAATTTAGAAAGAATATTCTTGTTTGTATACAGTGAATCCCGATCTAGCGGACCTCAATTTAGCGGATACTAATTAAAAATCTCAGTTTTACTGATAAGGTTCAAAGAACGGTTCCATAATAAACCTTAATAAAAACCTTATCGATATAGCGGATATCTCAGTTTAACGGAATTTTCCCTGATTGCCCAAACTATCCGCTAAATCGAGATTCACTGTGTATTGTGAAAAATACATTTATTTATTTTTATGTTTTATTGTGTTCGGAAATTTTCAACTTTTGAAATTCTAATAAAAAGATTAATATAAATAATTAATTGTTTATTTATTTTTAATAAACTTTTAAACACAAAAAAATTTTATGTCACGTGCTCTCCGTAAGATGGTCACGACAAGTCGGTTCTCTCGACTTATCAAGTTTACCTATGTAACTCGAAATTGATAATCGATATCTCGCGTAATAAATTAATAAATTCATCGGTTTATAATCGGCAAAAATTTTGGGATAAGATAAATATAACATTTTCCTAAATTTAAGAACCAATATTAAATTCATTCCTAATGTCAAAAACTCGTTGTATTTCAGTTACTCTTTTAAATAAAGGTACTTTAGTAAGCGATTTACATTATGGACTATTTTTTCGTTATTGATGGCAGCCTTCTGGTAGTGGAAAAGTATTCTCTATTCATGGTTTTCTTTTTGGATCAGTAAGAAACAATCTTTAAAAAATAGGTAGGTGTCTTTGTAAATATACAATAGGTCAATGACATCTTGAAAACAATGGCTATTATTGCTCAAGCACTAGATTATTTTAAAGTCTTTGGACTATCATTATTATTGTTACTAACTTATATTTAAAAAATAGATTAATGGACGAACATAAGGATCTTTTGTTTATTCATTTTAAAAAGAATTATTAATACAGATTTCTAACATTGTATTAATGTTTGTTTTCTTCTATTGTTGAATGGTGGATAATTGTTACACGACCATCAAAAATATTCTAAGAGGTAATAATATGAGGGCTTTTCAATAGAAACGGATCATGTTGTGAATATGATGTTTTGAGAAGATGAAAAAAAGATCCGCATTTTAAAGGGTTTACTATTGTTTTGAAACATTTAAAAAAAATATCTCAATATTTTACTATGAAAAATGGGTATGGTTCTAATCCAAAAATGCTCTACATATAGCAATGGTATTAACCCAAAATTTCTTTTTTCACAACATGGAGCTTTTTTCTTTTTATTATTATTATTGTACATGCTGTGCTACGCAAGAACCAAAATCTATTAAAGTTAAGTTTGATTTGGATTGCACCTCTTTATCATAAAGAGTAAAAAAATCATACCACTTAGGTCAAAACAATAGTCAATTTCATTAAATTCGAAACTTATAAATGGGATGGCCGTCCTCATATTTTTTCGTAACACCAACATAGAATTTAACGTTTTTTTTTTTTTTTTTTAATAAAGTCAATATCCTCCTCATATAATTTTATTAGAATAAAGTAAATATAATAAAAATAATTCACAAAATAAATTCCAAATTAACTTTATATGA